CTGCTTTGCACCTCTTTCCCCTGCAACCCAACTGAGCTGCCCACCCCGCTGGTTCCCTGTACTTCCCCCACAATCCAAGGGAGTGCAGCACCAGTTCCCTGCAGCCCCACAGCCCTGCTGAGCTGCCTGTCTGTTTTGTATGTCCTCCCCATCCACCTCAGCCCAGCTGAGCCCTGCACTGGTTCCCTGCATGCCTCCCCCACAGCACAGCTGACCCCCGTTTCTCTGCACCTCCCCCAAGTCCCACAATTGCTGAGCCAAGTGCCAATTCCCTGCTCCTTGAGACTAGCCCTGGTTCCTGACATCTCCCTCCTCCTGCAGCCAAACTGAGCTCCACACACACCTCACCCCACAGCCCAGCTCCCTGGACCTCCCCACTCTGCAACCCAGCTGAGCTCAGTTTCCCTGCACCTTCCCCCAAACCATGCATACATGCTGAGCCAGTGCTGATTCCCTGCCTCTGCCTTCCTCCCTCCCCTTGGCTGTGCCTACACTGGCATGATCTTGCACCAAAGCGGCTGCTCTTGTGCAAAAATTTGCTGCCTGTCTACACTGGCCGTGTTCTTGCGCAAGTCCACTGACGTTCGCATGTATGAAATCAGGGCTTCTTGCGCAAGAACTACGATGCTCCCGCTCAGGAATAAGCCCTTTTGAGCAACTATTCTTGCGCAAGAAGCCAGTGTAGACAGCCAACATGAATTTCTTGTGCAAGAAAGCCCGATGGCTAAAATCAGCCCCTTCTTGGGCAAGTGTCCATACTGCCATAGATGCTCTTGCGCAAGAAACAACTAGTGTAGACACAGCCTAAGAGTTCCCTCCCATGAGCAAAACGAATGTTGTGTTGTGCACCAGTACTGAGCTCATGTGGCTTGTTTGGATGTGCCACCCAAGTTAAAAACCTCGACCTTCTCCCTCTGCTGCCATGTCTCCTCCCCTTGCTCCATCAGCTCCCCTGGTACCTGCTGCCCCCCCACTCCCCACCCTCCTCTGCTGTCCTGACTCCTGCCCTCCTCACTGCCCTCAGCCCTCCTGCAGCCTGCCCCCTCCACCAGCCCTTCTCTCCTCCCTGTGCCCACTGCTCCAGTAGCCCCACTCTCATGTGAGCTACCCCTCCTCATCCCCTCTCCCTCCTCATCCCCTCTAACACCTCCCTCTGGAAACCTGCCCTGCATCTCTGATGGTGGTGGTCTCTCCCCTGCAGGTGTCTGTCCTTCTGCTTCACCCCCAGAATCCCTTGGCACCTGCCCCTTCTCTTACCCCTGCACCCTCCTGGTGCCTCCCCCTTTGCTCCCTTTTTCCTGATGCCCTCCCCTCACCACCCTGTGCTCCCATTCCCCTGTGCCCTCTCACACGACTTGCTCCATCCCTGCCTTCCTCATGCCCACCCCTTCTTTCAAGCCTTCTCCCAGCACCTCCCCTTGCCCCTCCAGCCCCCAACCTGAGAGTCAATTAGTTATAATCAATTACATAAAATTAAAGGAAACCAGGCCACCTAGGAGTGGGAAAGATAATGATAAATGAAATATTGCTGTAGGCACATGGGAGGAAAAGAGTCACCAGTGAAAGATTTTTTCGAAAGGAAGCAAATCTTTAAAAAGTTAAGTTTACAAACTCTCCTTTTTCAAGGAGAACGCAGAGAATTCTAGCAGGTCAAGTCCCAAAGCCTTTGCCAAGACTTTTTTTAATTGACTTAATTTTTCTAACTTTACTGATGGCTTTTGGTTGGCTTAGAGGGAGCTAATTCACAAGGCTCCACAGCCTCTAGTTTGCCCTGCACTGCATCTGTCATTACCTGGGCTGGAATAGGATGGAAATTTGTCACTCCTTTACACTGGAATGTTTTATCTCCATGCCATTTAAGACTCTTGCAAGGGGCTGCATCGACCGTCCTGGATCCTGAAGCCCATCACATGAAGTGTCCAGCAGGAAGAGATGGATACACACACTTCCCTGCCAGCAGCCTGCCTCAGTTCTGGCTCTCACCGGATCCAGGAGCTCAGACCCCCTTCGCAAATTGATACGGGGTAGCAGCAGTCCGAGGCAGGAGCACAGGGTGCCAGGTAGCCAATCCACAAGGGGAGCTGGCTTTTAAACTGGCTCCCCTTGCAGATCAGCTCCCGCCTGCATCCCGCGCTGCTCCCTGTGTATCAGAGG